GTACATGTACATGCACTGAGGTTACACATTGGAAGTAAACATACATGTAAGTTGCCATGATTGATTGGTTTAAGTTTGGCTTCTCTTCAGGTTAATATATTTTGGGTGGTCATTAACTTTTGCAAATGACTGTACATTATACACATGTACGTGTATACAGGCTTCGATTAACGGTTGGTATTGCATATTAAACTATAAACCTGTGCATACAAGTACTCGCTCATTTTATAATTTATGTGCACATATGCAGGTCAAGGGTTGACCGTGAATAATCCCAAATTGAGGTATTAATGTGGTTGTACTTTCATGGCCATTTTTTCAGCTTATCGGGCTGATGGGCCCCTGACAAATTTGTTTCTGACTGTCCTGTTGTCCTTTACCGCATTAAAATCCACCACAGTGGCAAATTGTTTTTACATGTAAGTGGCAGAATCTTTAAGGCGGAACGCTCGGATTAGCACTGTGCCTTTCAAAACGATTCAGGTACATGTGGCAGACCCGCACTCTTTTTGTGAGCGTCAAGGTCTCACTTTTTTTTCTCCAATCAATCATGGAGCAATACAAGTACAGTACTGCCCATTTCTGATGGCCTACTTTCTTTGGACAATAGGCTGGCTGGTCAGATTTGTACAGGAAAAATAAACACCTACTGTACCTGTACACATGGTACCTGTACATGTACCAGCACCAAGCATTATCAACAAAACAAACAATTTAAGAAAGGAATTTGATAGGAGTAACTTGACAAGGATATATATCTAATGTCAAGGACCACATAATTACAGCATGTTCATTCGGATGTGCATTACCAAACAACAGTATCATCCTTATCAAGGACAATTTAAGCTGATACATAAAATTAATGTAGTCTACTGCAGAAGTAAGGTGTCTGTTGGTTCATTATTTCTGAGTTATCCCTTTGGTTGATCCAAATGGCAATCTTCACATTTCCTTGACACGAGCCTGGATGCAGTAGCGATTTGTTCTTATGAAATTCTCTGTCTGACCATGTACATGAGTAAATCTCAAAAAGTCAATTTGCAACTTAGTCCTTATTTTGATGTGCTAGGTCACATGTACATGTAGCTCTGGAACCACAAGCGAGGTTTATTACTCGGCTCAATGACAGATAAGTTGACAGCAATTCTTAGAGGCAAGTGGTGATTACAAATTTAATGACCTTTACATGATTAAACAGTCGAAATTAAGCTTCTCTGTTTTGAGTTCTTTCATTTCAATTACAGATGACATGAGTTTGAATCTTTGCCTGAAATCAAACGTATATTCAGAACATGGCTGTTATAATTTTCTTTTTCTAATTTTCATCATTTAATTTCCTGAATCAAAAACATGTTCATTTTTTTTCCATTTTTTTATACCTCTCTGAGATCATCCAAGTTCATGTGGGTGATGCATGTTACTTGAGTTGGATAAATCAGGCCAGTGTCTCTTGTAGCAATAACATCCCCCAGTGGCCCAGTCCATCACAGGTCCCTTTCCATGAGGATACCGTGCACAATATGGGGCCAATGGGGACCCCCCACATGTCCAATCCCTATGCACACTCTCAACTATTGTTACCTAAAACATCCGTCCCCCCTAGAAGTCTGTTTAGAATTCATATGCCCATGACCAGTCACCCCATAACAGGGTGAACAATGACAACGGAATTCTTTTGTCACAGTTAAAAGCCGGTGACCACACTTTTTGTACAGGGACCGACTCAATACTTGCCTGGGGCAAGATACACATGTAAACCATGCAGTGGTCTAGGGTCGGGTTGCTCAATACAAGACGTCTAATTTGTGCACCGTACATGTATGCATGGTCTCCCACGTCACCCCCTTCAGTCATGGTCCGAGCGGTGAACAATTTCAATAAATGCTATTAGTGGACCTATAGACCCCAAAATTTGGCACACCAACTCCAGTTTTCTTGGCACAATTGAGTTGGGAAAAGCCCGCAAAAAATATTCACTTGAGGGACATTTCATACTGTGCAGGTCCTTACAAGGTCCAATGCACAATGAGTTGATACACGTATGGTACTCTCTCTGTCTCCAACCTTATCGTTCACATACACGTACATGTACGTATACGTACACATACACTGTTACATGCCTTGAGTATTTTTATTTCTGGTTCACTTTATATTCCTGCTTTTATTCAGTTAGTTCTAATTTTTTCCTAGTCTAAATAATGCAAACCAGGCTCTGAAAAGTCTGTCTTGGTCAGTGTTCAAAGTCATGGCGTCCAAGATACAAGTTGGGAAGTAAATTGACTTCACAAACAGGGAAGTGCGAATAGTGATGCAATGGTTCGACACTGACAAGAAGACAAAGCAAAAGTAGACAGCAACAAGCCACTTGCAAGTTAAATTTGAATACAAATCTGGTACACTGTGTTATCCGACTGCACAGAGACTAACAATTTGAATTCCCCAGAATAAAGACACTGTTGCTATGCCTTGTGATTCGGGACAAGCTTTTGCATAGTGGTCATCATCTCTGGAATGGACTGGTACCTTTGTACTCTTCTAATCTTCTGTGAGTCAAGTAACAAATGCTAGCGTCTATCTGTACATTTATTTCCTGTTTGTTGGTGTTTGAGCTGAAATCTCCCATCTTTGTAGTGATTACTATGCAAGGTTCCGTACCAGAGAAGCCAGTATTGCATAGCACACACGCATACAGTAACATTTATGTACGTATACTCGGCAGCTGGTCTACGTGGCTGCCTGTGGAAACAAGCACATGAGGCCTACATGCTGTTCAGTACACCATCCGCTAACGAAATAGACCGTGCCACGTGTTGGCCACTTTTCATCGTGAAAGCGATTTACCTCAACTCAGAGTTACATGTACATGTATCATTACCAGTTCTAAAAATGTAATCGTTCTCCTCCAAGAAGTCGGTGCACACATGAGCCACCTGGGGACGACTGTTGTCCTGCTGAAACACTGCAGGATCCTAAACTCGCACCATTACGCGCAGTACAATTGGGTCCAGGATCTCGTCACGGCAGCGGGCAGCACCGAGATTTCCTTCGATGAAAACCAAATCAATGCGTTGATTGGCCAATAAGCCATCCCGAAACATCCCGCTTGGGCCACCCGGGCCCAGCAGGGGTAGCCAGCAAGGCCGGTACTTCAAAATTTTCACTGGTCCTGCTGAAAGTTTGGTAGTCCCAGAACCGCATGTGCAGCCGCTTGAGCAATCCTTGCAAGGGCGCAGGCCAGGCCGCAACAAACTTTCTTTTTTTCTAGTTTGCCCGATCGGGCAGGCCATACCATATATTTGTTTGAATGGCATCAATGGGATGACAGCTTCCAAAATTATCTAAAAATTACACCTGTCTTAATCTATGTACAAATTTCTACATTCGACAATTCACAAGAAAATTATAGACATTTCACACAGTGTTACTCAAGCGATCGCGACAGTAAACTAGACAACAATGTCCATGTATCGCGTGATAAGCGTGCATGGTGCATCCAGACCAGTGGGCGATAAACCTTGAACTGGAGCCACGAGCAGAACAACCTCAAATTAAAATCATGAATGCAGAAAATACATACATACATGTAAATAAGAGACCAAGTTCTGTGAATTAACTTGCAGAAAACCTCTTGCAACTTTGATGTCTTTTGGACCTGCAGCCTTAAGTTAGGGTTGCATTCGTGATGTGTTTACAGCCAATGAAGAGTGTTTCAGGAAATGTACAGTACATGTACAGTCCAGACTGGTGCTGGTTGCCACATTTCCATCACGCATTCTTTTGCATGGGCATGGTGTGGCGGGTACCAAAGCAGCTCCGTTTAATTGCACTGAGCTTTGTGCACGCACTTTCACCACTGCGACAGCAAACGCGAATGGGGTACTCATAAAAATGAGGGTTTTTTTGTTTTTTTCAAAAATTGCAAGTGTAAGTACATGTACTCACTCTTGCACTCACTTGCCTGTGGTGTGTCCCTATGGTTTCAGCGGCAGTGCGTGTAGCGTGCCGGAACCTGTCACGGAGGTGGGACAGCCCGTTGGCACGGTCTTGTGCAGTGGTCGTGACCCGTGGCCTGCTAGCTCAGGGACGATCTGCGGAGGTGTTGGTAGTGTTGTAGCACTGTTCAAGACGCACAATCGTTGAGTGGTGGACCCTAAACAGCCTGGCAACGGCTCATTGGTTCCTTCCAGCTTGGAACATGCCAGTGGCTCGGTCTCTCTCAGGTTGTGACAGTCGTGGCATCGTGGATACAAGTGTTTTTGGCGTCATTTTGGTGTCTTTTTATAGGCGAGGGTTGTGTTCAGGACATGAATGGTCAAATGCATATCTGGGAGTCACTCATGTGTTAGCATAAAATGCAAAAACACAGTTTTTGGCACTCACCCAACTCACTCAACTGGAACGCGATAATTACACATTGACGTTTATCTCTAAATGCTCAATCTAGAACATGCACCAATTTTTACAGTGCCAGTCCTACTTCCTAAAATATGAGAATTTCTACGTGGTGCATTTCTTTTTTCCTTGAGTGTATTAGGCTGCATCCGAATCTCTTGTCTAGAGCTAGGTCTAGGTCTTCGCTCCATTGGAAATGCGTGGAAACGTGCAGACAATAGACCTAGCCGTAGCTCTGGAGGCCCGTTTCGGACACGGCCTTAGCTGAGCTACCACATAGATACCGGTATATAGTCAGGTGCACGGCTTTAAAGGCAGACCCCATAACACAGCACTTATAAACTAGAAACCAAGGCCAAGGGGTGACAATGGGGCATGACTGGCCAACCGCTCATGTACATACTTGTACATTGTACGCTGCCAATTTCTTGCTCCTGGGACAACCACTTTTTGGTCAGTTCGTTTTCTTGGATGTGCTCTAGCCACCCCCCTGGGCAGCATTTGATAGCACAACACACGTCCCATTCCTGCGCACTCCCACAGAAGGTGAGGGGTAAGTCACAAGTGTGGTGAGCTACTGACGGCAGCCTACAATTTTCATAACTCACCATCCCAGTTTGGCGTAGCCGACGCCACCCTTCCACGCACGGACATTCTTGGTGTCGGCGTACAACCGGACAGGATTGAACGCTCCGGTTGCAAAGTAGGGACCCACAGGCCCGATGATTACGAACAGTTTAGCGTGACCAGGAGGGCTGACACCCAGCGACGGCTGGTTAAAAGAGAGAAAAATAAATTGAGTCAAGATAACAAAAAAAAATCAACAAAAGTCAATCATAAACCCTGCCTTACATTTATGTAGCTTCTAATCAAGTCCTTTCAGTGTATATGTACAGATGATCCTGGCAGAGTTTTTGAAAACTACAAGCACTTACATCCAGTGCATTTGACAAACCTGAAGCTATCCAGCAAAATGACAAAAGCAACTTTAGAAACACAAGTGCAGTGTTTTTTTGGATGAATTTCAATTTATTGGTGTTTGTAAGCTTTGACACGTCTGCTACACAGTTTAAACTCAGAGAATAAAATATGAATTAAGGGACATGCAATTGGCATAAAATTTAAGAATTTAAAGGCTTTTTCTCGGCAAATCAACTTCTGTTAACTCTTATTCAAACTTAATTTACATTGTATGTTCATCTAACAGTGCATTTAGCACCAATTACAGGATAAAGAGACAGTTAAGAAGACACTGGAGAAATACAAATGTATTCAGTGTTAGAGGTGGGAAGTTTTCCTCATTGCTCTTTTTTCACCTTCCACCTCTGCAACCCAGGTTCGAATCCCGTCTAAGCCAGTCCCTGTCTGATTCATTTTCCCCAGATAATCATTCCAGGGAAAACCCACGGAATCAGGCAAGGACTGGCTTACGTGGGATTCGAACCTGGGTCGCAGAGGTGGAAGGTGAAGAAAGAGTCACTACATCAGCCCAACTCCCCTTAAGACAGCCATGCCAATAACTTGTCAATGCAAAACCGATGAGGAAATGTACATGTACCATAGTGCAAGTAAACCAGCCAGTTCTTGGTGATGCATTGTACGGTCGAGTTCGGGCAGTCTGTTCTTGACAAGGGTTTTTTGTTCTTGCACTCGAACGGCAGGAACAGGACTCAAGAACACTGTTCTCAGAACAGGATCACACACCACCTCCTCGTCAGGGTTTTACAGGAACACACGGAAAAACTCATGAGATTTGATTTTTGAACAGCTGAAAAAAGTAGAAAGATGGCTTCCAAAGCCATAGACAATGGGAAGTTTTGCAAAATTAACATTAATTTTTTTCCGTAACACAGAAATGAATGTTCCTGTTTATATTGAAAAGAGTTCAGCCCATCCAGACATTAACTCTCGAATAACGTAGCCTACATGGACGCCGCCATGTTGCATGTTGCTTGTCACTAACTACCAGCGATAACCAGTTGTTTGTTCCCAGCATTCGAGCGGCCAACCCACGAACAACAAATTAAGCTGTTCATGAACATACGGGAACAAGCCGCCCAAACTCGGCCTACACGTATTCGCCTGAATGGAAGTGCACCCTCACTGGCCAAGACAAGACAAGCTGGTGGAAAGGTTTTCAACTGAGCTCATGTATAGATCTGATACACAAGTGGAGACAGTACAGTTCCAACACAAATCGGTTGGCGTGGTCAGTAAGTCACAGGCAACATGGGGAGACAACTGTGGATGCATACGGTGAGTTCCAACCCAAACACCATTCACTGCTGCGTTGAAACACGTCATCACAAGTCTTAACTCAGAGCAAATTGTGAACTTTATATCATCGTGTCAGTGCAACAAGGTCGCATCTTCCAATCGTTGTGTACACGAGACATGACCTTGTTGCACTGACATGACGATATTACACTGACCACTTGCTGGTTCTTATTATACAGGTTGGCTGAAATACAGTGTACATGAACATGTACATGTATACCCTGGTACATACATGTACATGTACCATCAAGTGGGGTTAACTTTACAAGCTAGAAAGAAGCGTGCATTAGCCTAAACTAGACAGACACCCAGACATTGTCTGCATGTAAATTCCTGTGCAAAACCTCGGACTGGTTGCAACAACCTCACTAGTTAATCAGCACCTGCATAGTGCATGACCAGGAGAGGACCCTATTGCCCTTGGTATTCTTCTAGTCACTCACAGTCCCTCAGCGCATATAGATGTGCACTCGTGACCTCATTACCGGTCTATAAGTACCGTGATAATCGTTGCTGCCTGGAGCCTACTCAAGCTTACCCTCAGCATTTGTCACATCTCAACTCAATGGCAGTCAGGTTGGCACTGCGATTCTTTCCTCACCTTTCCTGGCTTGGTCCAAATGTTTTTCAGTCCCTAATATGTGTAAACCTGTGGGATCTACTCAGAAAATTCTCCCGGGCATTTTCCTCCCACTTCTAAAACTGTCACTGCTTTTCATTGACTCTTCTCTGCAGATGTGGGTCATTTGGCAGCTGCCTGAGGCACCCCTGGTAAGCCTTAGACCTACCCTGTAAACCTCAGGACCTCCTGTGCACAGATCCTAGTTCATCTTCGTTACAAGATGACCTCAACGAAATTGAACTTACCTCTGTTGCAATCATGGTTGGTCTGATATACAGTGTGCTAGTCGTGGAGTGGGGCACCCATTCTCGGTCCAGGCTGATCAATTTGGACATACACTTCAGCAGCTCCTCTTTGTCAAATACCTGTGTTGTGTAAACACAAACCACTGACAGTGTTATGACACATGTCCGTTCCTACCACGATATATTTGGACAGAGAACATAGATGTGCATACACGAACAGTGATCTCGTTAGGGCCGCGTATAATGCAAGCGTGTATGCACAAGGTGCTGATCAATGTGTAAAACCCCCTTCCAATATTGCCCAGTGTTTCCGTCATCAAAATGGTGGGATCGAAAGATACCATGCTGCACATGTACCCAGTCATGTGTTTCATGAAGTAAAAAAGCTTTTGCCTGCAGGTACAAATAGGATCTGGTTATGGAACAAAATGAACATGTACATATACGACTCAATGTATGCGCTATGCCTAGTCTACACATAGCGGTACCGTACATGTACAGTAATGTACATGTACTGTAGGTGTACTGGCACAATATGGACATGAGGGCAATATTTCAGTATGAAGTAAAAGCTTGATCAAATTCAATCACTGAAGTAAGAATACATCAGTATGCGAGGATATCTTGAAAGTCGGAACGCTCGGATTCTTGTCACTGGAGTGGCATGCTCCCACGGTGGAAAGCTTTAGCGTTTCATGAGGAACGTGCTGTTCCGCTGGAATGGTCCAGTGGAATGTTCAGGAGCATCTGCATCAGTTGAGAGTAGGTTTCGCTTATATTTGGAGTGTTAACTGATAACATTTTGCTTTGATTAGATACGACTTGGTTACAAATCATGATGGAGTTTATTTGGGTGGCAGTGTTGACAGATCTGATGATGTACATATGTATGCATGTAAGTTGTTGTAGTGAGAGAGAATTTTGCAAGTTATGTTTAGGCTTAATACCCATTTAAATTGAGTACATGTAGTACACAAAATCTTTTACTCTCGTTGCCGCGTCATCATGGAGGCTAAGAGGGGAAACAGACAGGACTAACCCACTGAAACACTGTACGAGCTCACCACTTCCTTGCAGCTTTATCTGGAAATGAAAGGGAGAAGTATCAAACTCCTTAATGAGGACATTTTTAAGCCTCTCCAAAACTCTTGGGGCATCCGCATGATTGAGCTGTCATCAGTTGGCAAGAAGGCACCACGTAAGCAAGCCATCACAAGCCGTGAAGTCATCACTGACAACGAAGAAGCTGAGCTATGGTCCAGAAGAATTCTTGGCACTGACACACCCAAAGAACTGGTGGACACTACGCTGTATATGATTGGTCTGCACTTTGCCCTCCGATGCTGGAAAGGAGCACCATGCACTCCGCGTTGTTAACTCCCAACTGTCTCTCCACACCAACAATCATGGGAACAGGTTGCTAACATATAAAGAAGATGTTTCGAAAAACCACTATGGAGGTCTAAACCAAAAGTTGTGGATGCAATAATTTCTGAGATCTACATGTAAATAAAACATCAAAATTATTGGTACTCATACCCCTTATAAATTTTAGGTTGTTGTGTTTTTTTCAAAGAATGAAAGGTGGGCACATAATATTTAGGCCATCGTTAAATACTTTTAGCTGTCAGGTATAAATGATTAATGCATTTGGTTTTACCTCATTTGCATTACAAAGAGAATGCTACACGGTTTAAATTCTGACATGTTCAGAATTATTTATACCGTTTACCTATAAGAGTTAATATCACCATTAATAGTCAATTGCAAACCCTGTGGCCAAACAGCTCGTCTGACTATCGAACTGATGACCAGAAACTTTGGTCCTTATCTCGGTGCCCTCTGGCAAATGTACGTCAAGCTTTTCGATGCCTGTGAGTGAGGAGAGGGGTCTTTCTTGGACGACGCCCATGTAGCCCTTCCTTGTGCAGTGTACTGCGGATTTTCTGTCTTGAAACCTTGGTGCCCATCTCACCCAAGTCTGTTGTCATGAAGTGCCTTCATTGTTGTTCTGAGGATGGAAAGGGCCTCGCAGCACACTTCCTAACCAGACAAGGAGACACCTTCGGCTTCCGTCCACACTTGCCGATGTTTTCACAGAACTGAACTTCTTGTACTTCTAGACAATGGACTGTACACTGGAAATTGGTACTCTGAAGAGCTTGGAAATGGCTTTATCGCCTTTCCCATCTTTTGAGGGCATTCACGTGCTCATGTTGAGATCTTTGCTGAGTTCCGTAGTTTTTGCCATGTTCACAAAAACTGAGGACGACTCCACGATTGCACTTTCATTTGTACTCTAGAAGCAAAGTACCGACAATGACAGTCCACAAATCAAAGGCAAAAGATGACATTCACAACAGATTCCTAGAGAATGCATGCATTGTTGAATATATACATGTACAGGTATATATTTAAACAACATGCAGAATCTTAGGAATGTCTGGAGCATGTGCATTTCTGAGGAATCTGGCCAAATATCCCGAAAAGCAGGAGGGTATGAATAATTCTGAGCATGTCAGAATTTACAATGTACATGTACCGGTAGCATTCTGCAAATGAGGCAAAAATAATATTAACCGATGTCTGCTAAAATGCTCCACTGCATTTTAACTCCCGCATTAGCAAATCCCACTAATGATGTGGTACTTATGCCAACCGAGAGGACAGCATGAGTCGGCAAGGCTACACGTATGTACATCTATGTGAATAACCTCTCTTACAGTTTTTTATATGCTGGTAAAAATGTGGTCAGGAAAAAAACAGGTTTAGATCCCATCTGACATGTCTGGGTCCCAGAAACACAGGCACTTATTGTCTGCTGAAATTCACCAGTTTCGACCTTATTTGGAAAATAATTTAGTTTTACGTTTATTACTCCCTCCCCATATTTTCCATCATAAAATAGATCAGGGTTTGAAATTCACTGGCGCAGGTAGCTAAAATGCACCCGTTTGTCTCAGACATGCGGCCGTAAATCATAAAAGACGGGCGCAAGAGCTTACGCCGGTTTGATTCCATTATTGTAATGAAAATACATTTACCTGGACATTTTTACTGTTTGTTTCTACTTCTGTCATGAAAAATGCCTGTACTTTTTGACTCCACTTCGGATCAGCCTTGTTACAGAACCATAACATGGTACAATTTTTTTTACGATGTCACTGAGCCCACGCCGCAGTCTCTGATGCGATGCATGCACACACATGAACGTATGCACGCATACTAGCGGACAGTGTCAAAATCTCACTGAATGGTCTGCACAGTGGCCGTGTCTGAATTGAAACAGCTGGAATTTACGCACGATTGTATGGAAACTGGCCCCTTGTGCATAAATTCAAGCCAAACAAGTGGATTCGGCTTAAGACTTCAGTTTCGCTGATTCCACTCATGGCTTGAACATGTGGTTTTGAAAGATGCTCCAAAATAGCTGGAACCAGCGAAACCAAGGCCTCATCCACTCGTTTCGAAAATGCTTGATTGCTGCACTTAGTTCCCTCTTACGTTTGTGTGCATATGCACGTTATAAAGGCCCGGTGTCCAACAGTTGGCGTCGCGTTGCTAAGCAACAGCAAGCACCAGGGTCTTTGCTTTTTTCTCTTAAACATATGTCTTTAATATTGTACGGGAGCTCCGGTACTTGCTCCAGTAAACTGACAGATTCAGCTGTCTCGGGAGTAAGTAATTGCTGCCGTGAGGATTAGCCCAATTTCAAGCCCTGTAGATTAGAGCCATTTCCACTATCTGACCCAGTTTTCGCCCCCTGCTGTAGCATCACTATAAATGCTACATATTTTTAAATAATGCATTAATCCTTAATTTTGCCAAATTAATAACATATTGTGTTAATATCCCAGGTTGTACAAAAGCTGTGCAAGGAGGCTGGGTTTTCAAGGCTTTTACTCGAACCACTCCCTCCAAGCGGTGTGTAGTACAAGTATCTCACCTCAACAACAAGGGCTTCGAGAAGCAGCTCATCGGTGAGACAACAGGTCACAGGTCAAACACCATAGGAGTATACAAGAGAACCAGCAAGGACCACAAGAAAGCCATCAGTGGGGCTCTGTACTGAGACGGCAAAAACTACAGTTGAAGGCTCTAAAGAGACTGTCAACATAGCTCTTACCGATGCTCTAAATATCAACTGTTAGAATGCTCAGCCAGAATTTAAACACAGAGACCTGAAACAACACTAGTGTAGGAAGATAAATTTTAGGTCCATAAGGTACATGTATATCCCTTCGTTTCCAGAACCAGAGCTTTCTAGTTACAGTCTTGTTTTAACAGCTCTGTGTTATACAAAGATATTTGTGAAGCCAACATTTTTATGAATGACCTGGTTATAAATGTGTTCAATTGTACAATGTACAATGTATATAGTCAATTTTTCAACACATATGAAGTTGTATTAAGTGTTAAAATCGTGTTTCCTGTTTCGTCGAGTCTTTTTCAGGCTACCTAATTTTAAATAATGCACGGTTTACGGTATATTCTTAAGAAGAATCTACATGTATACGTTAATGAATACCAGTAGAGTGATGTCACAAGACTAGTTTAACCCTAACTGCCCAAGGGTTGCTGGACCTAACCTCCCCCATTCACACAAAGTGCAAAGAGGCTGTTGGACTTAGTTTTTCTGAGGTACGCCACACCCAACGCAAAAGCCGGCTGTTTGGGACTACCAGAACTATCCCCACAGAATGAAACACTTTACTACTGTTTAATTCTGTGTGGTTGGGGAAGGTTAGGGTTAATAGATGCTATCGTAATATGAGATTTTCTGATATTGTTCTCATGCGAAGCGTTTCTTAATTTCTGATTAACTTCATGTATGTTTTAAGTGTTTGTACCACTGGATGAGACTTCACCGCAGTTTTTCTGAAATAGAGTGAAATACCAATTACTGAGTGAAAATATTTACTGGATACCGGTATATTCCATTCAAACTGTTTTCAACTTCAAGTATAACCACAGAAATTATTTGTTCATGGTAGTAAATAGGTTTGTAGAAGGCTACACTTTCTGCCGGATTTACAATTAAGATGGACGGTAAGCACAGAGTTGATGGATCTGGAGAGTGACTTTCAAACACTGAATCATGACCTCAATGTCAGTGTTGCAATACCAGACAGCATATTTTTTCAAGGCAGAATTAGACACACATCACAACGATTGCTCCTGCAGAGTTCATCCATGGGTGAATACCACTGCCATTTGCTCAACAAACAACTGTACAACTGTTCTTCCGTTGATATCAGAAGCCTTGGCCCTAATAGTTTTATTGTTTTGAAATACTTTCAAGTTCTGTAGTACAACGATCAACAAAAGAAATCAGGGGAGACGACCGAATGGGATACAAACCACAAAGGGTGAAAATCATCGGATGTGTATTGGTACATAATCTACGGGTGTCCACATAAAAAGTATACTGAGATATAAATTACAGTAAAAGCAAAACTACTTTATATATGGGAAAGAGAAATATATCTCTAGAAAGGGCAGAATGTCCTCTTTGCAATGGTAGACAGCTTGTGATGTTATGAGTGAACAAACTAGACCAGTGTTAAGGGTACTGAAATCGGCACTGTGACAAGTTTGCATATTTCATAAACAAGGCTCCACCATGCAAGTGTGCAGAATACCAAATTATATTTTGCTTTCCCATATATAAAGTAGTTTTGCTATTACAGTAATTTTTATCTCGGTACACTTTTTATGTGAACACCGTGTGTAAGCGACAATACACTAACACAAAGTGCTACCGGTCCATGTATTGCCCAAGGTACATGTGGGTGTACATACATGTATTGGAGTGCCTCCAAGTACTGGACTACAACGCTTGTCTACGAACAAAAGTGCACCCCGGAAAACCTGTTTTGTAACCGTGGGTCACCTGCACTGGATAAAACAGTGTAGATCCATTCACTAAACTTTCCCTCAAGGTAGTTTAAAATCACCATTTTAGCATCAAGACAAATCCAATTCGGTGCAACTTTAACAGCTTTCAGACACTGTTTCCATGTTTCAGCAGAAAAGTTACACCAAATGGAGTTCAAGTAAAAGTACGGCAGTGTTATGGTTATAAATGTAAGTACACAGTAATACCCCAAGCCCAATGTGAACTGTCACCACAAAATGAGCCAGCAGTTGGAATTTTCAAAAATTGAGATATTGGTAGTTTTAAATTTAGCAAGAAAAGAGCTTTCCAGTGGTATGCACATGGAAAACTTAAAAGTTTAAAAACTTTACAAAGTTAAAAGTGTAAGGTGACCATGTGACATTATTCTGGCAGTTTTGCTTTTTTGTTTCCAACATTGTTTCAACATTCCGGACCAGGTACAAATAGTGCTATCGCCAAAATTGCCAAGAAAATGACACTTGTAAATATGTGATCCTGCAAAATATTTGGAATTAAATAGGAGATGGGTTACTCTTTTCAAATATTACAAAACCCACAGAGTGACCTCCCCTTCAATATGACTTTGAACCCATAAAACAGGAAAGAACGGGGTGTGACCTTACACTCATTTCGTCATGACAGGTCACACATGCACTACCTGCAGCTGGGAGTGTAAAGCATTACTGCCTCTAAACCAGTATCTTCCATAAACACCAGTGTTATGGGCATTTCATACTACAGTCATACATGCTCTTCAGTCACAGCGCACACTTACTGGCAGAGCGCATCTTTCTGCGGAGTTGACCATCCTCTGCATGTTCTCACGTGGACGGAAGAGGCGAATCTTGTTGTCCACTCCCCTGTAGGCCTTCATGCCTTCAAACAGCTGTGGAAATTACAAACTGACTGGTGAATATGGATCAACTTGTATTCATTTTATACCTTCAACAGTTTAGCATCGTCAAGAACCCATCAAGTGGCTGGTCTTCAATGACAGAAAAAGCACCAGCTTGCTGTCCTAATTGCCACATGAAGAGGTGAGTCTACATGTACTTGAGAACATGCAATGTCATGTGGCTAGAGGGGTGTATAAAAGAAAATGAAGTATACACTAACTGTTGGAAATTTTTAATTGACTTAACCCGTTTTGAATCCGTGATTCACCAGGGGGGTTAACTGTGCTTGGCCAGATTTAAAAGTTCATTCAAGATTGGTTCACGAGAGCTGATGCCGGTACAGTAATGTCCCCTGCCTTTGGCTCCGGCGTCGTCAGCATCCATGCTCCTGATCCGGTCTGACCAGCCAAGTGCAGAGTTATTCCCTTTTAAATAGCAAAAGGTTGCTTGTTTGGGTAACTGTTGCAGGCAATTGTTGACACACTGCAAGTATCTAACACCACAAATACCGAGTCACAATCATTTGAGTCCCTTGAATAGTATCCGTCTGATACACGTATGTCTTTCTGCAACCTCATATTTTTCAACGCTTTCAGCCTAGCCAACACAGCCACATTTGCTATCACAACAGGACCTGCACACTGGCCAAGTTCAAACTCAACACACCATCTTCTCAGACTTTGTGTTTATGTGTACGCATACAAAACAAACATGGGATTAACACATGTAGGTTTAGAGGTCAGTCTGAAGAGATTTTTTGGACCAACCTCCAGAGCATAATGCAGAGACGAAGAGGCGGGGTGTAAGGACAGATTGCCAAATGGGACAATCTTTGGTGCCTGCCAGCCAGCATCCTTGGACCAATCAATGACCAGCATATGATCTGTGAATTCCTTGCCAAAGATGAGGTTTTCAGAGTCCGGCTTGGGCTTCAGATTAGTGGAGCGCTCAATCTGCAGATCGCTGGCCTGTTGAGAAACAATAAAACAACATGTACACATATCCTACATGTACGTACATGTACATTCTAAACTAAAAGATTTCTCGCAACAGAATTTTGCAACCCCGGATTTGCTTAGTTTCATATTGGAACTTTAGCTGATAACAAGTTTGAACAAAGGTTACTGGCACATTACTTAGTGTCTACTGAAGATTATGAGGCCTAACCATTGAATCCTTTCAATTGGTCCTTACAGTACATACACGTACAGTGTACAATGTACATGTACCGCCGGCATTAGAATAGCCCTTAGAGGGCTTCATGTACACGTACACGTAGAGCCAACTTGAAGAATAATAACCAGGGGGGGAGTCATTTGTGTGGAATTTCGTACCTGAGCATTCCTTGAAATCTGAACAATTTGAGACAAAGTAGTGCAGTGAATGTCACAATACAATGATGATATGTAATGCCATATTACCTACATGTATGACTCTTTCAAGGGCAATGTTGAAAATCATGTAAATATTGTTGTTGTTGAACCAATGGCATGTAAATGGAACACTCAGGGTAAAAGTATAAAGTCATAATAATGCTACAATACGGTATGTCTGGGCACATGGATGCTTTGATCCATGCACATTCAACAGCATTAACAGATTAAAGTGACAGTTTTTTTAGTTAAGCGTAGGACCGAGTAGTGGGGACATTTCTCTGTCCTCACACATTTAGTCCCCATAGCATGAAGGTCATTTTTTCAAAAATTAATTTCGGTTTCAAAACTTTTTCTTACGTGTAAGATCTGGTAACTTAGAGGTTTACCTTAAAGCTCTGCAAAGATGCCATACACCTCCTCACACAATGCCGATGCCAGGGATGGCAGGATACCTGCATTCAAATAAAACATACAAAATACCAAAAAAATGAGACGTGTGACCTGTCACCGCAAATGAGCTGAAAGATGGAATTTCAAAAACTGAGATATCAGTATTCTCGAATTTAGCAGAAAGAGAGCTTTCATTCCTGTAGATCTAATGTTATGTATAGTCCTCGTCCTTGTCAGTCCGAGGTCGGGGTACAAAAGCTTTTAGCTTCACCCACGCACATGTACGTCAATGTTGCCCTCTGTGTTTGTGTTCAGTGAGTGTCAATATCATTTGTCAATCATAATTTAATTGCTTTACCTACATGTATGGCTCCTTCAAGGGCAACGTTGAAAAACATGTAAATGTTGTTGTTGAACCAATGGCATGTACATGGAACACTCGGGGTAAAAGTATAAAGTGATAATGTGACATTATTCTGGCAGCTTTGCGTCTTTGTTTCCGACACTATTTCAACATTTCAGATCAGGCCCGAATAATGCTATTGTCAAACTTGCTGAGAAAATGGCACTTTTAAATATGTGGTTCTGCAAAATATTTGGAATTACATGCAAGTTAGGAGACAGGCTATTCTTTCCAAATACCCCCAGTATTAAAAACACAGAAATTGACCTCCACTTCAATATGACTCTGAACCCTCAAAACAAGAGAGTGGGATGCGACTTTACTCTCATTTTGTCCTGACAGGTCACGTATTGTTTTACGAATACAATCAATCATTTATGCATGGTATACACTTCATGCATTACAACCCTCCTTTGGTTTTACAGCACAAATATGCACAAGTACCCACAGTCACTCTCTTGCATGTGTTTTCTATGTCAGTGTATGTGGAACA